TCAACTTTAGGTTCTTAATAGATTAATTATTATTATTATTCATACGCCGTGACTTTCGCTACTAGATGACGAAAAATCTTGCGTGTCATCTGATTTAATATGATTGTACACAAAGTAGACTGACGATTTATTAAACAATCATATTAAAAGCACTTTTACAAATGTTTCTTCGTTTTATTTATTTACTTTTTTTATAACAGGTACGTGGACATGTTCTGCCACTAGCGCTGCAAATGTATGGCTGCAGAGTCATACAGAAGGCTCTCGAATCAATTGGACCAGAACAACAGCAGGAAATCGTGCGGGAACTAGATGGACACGTATTGAAATGCGTCAAGGATCAGAACGGGAATCACGTTGTTCAGAAATGCATCGAGTGTGTTGAGCCGCGAGCATTGCAATTCGTGATAGGAGCTTTCGCAGGACAGGTTTACTCTCTGAGTACTCATCCTTATGGCTGCCGAGTAATTCAACGCATTCTCGAACATTGCACCCCGGAACAAACCCAAGGAATCTTGCAAGAGTTGCATGCTGCCACTGACCAGCTCATTCAAGATCAATATGGAAATTATGTTATTCAGCATGTGCTTGGTAAATATATTTCTTTTATTTTTATGTAACTTAGAATTGTAAAAATGTTTTAAATGTAAATAAACATATTTATAATTAATGATGAACGTATTTTTCATATGATGAATACTAATATTATTTTTTTTTTTGGTATTATCTTTATGTTAATTAAATCTATATTTCTATTATTACAAATTGCTGCTATTATAAAATAATCTTTAATTAGTCTCTACTTCCTAAAATTTCATTACGTAATAAAAATATTAATGCTAATAATAATATTTATTTATATTTGTTATAGAACACGGAAAGCCAGAAGATAAAGCACAATTAATTAGCAGCGTAAGAGGCAAAGTACTTGCTCTTTCGCAACATAAGTTTGCAAGCAATGTAGTTGAGAAGTGCGTAACTCATGCTACGAGACAGGAACGCGCTGTATTAATCGAGGAAGTTTGCGGCTTTAATGACAAGTAAATATGCTTTTGCGTAAAATAATTATAAGCTTTACAAGATAATTACAAGATTTCAAACGAAACTACGAGATGTTTTCGCAAATTTAATTTTTTTTCTCTTGTTATACAGTGCGCTGAACGTGATGATGAAGGATCAGTATGCTAATTACGTGGTTCAGAAGATGATTGACGTCGCGGAGCCAGCGCAACGCAAGGTGTTAATGCACAAGATTCGTCCACATTTGGGAAGTCTGCGCAAATACACCTATGGCAAACACATCATCGTTAAATTGGAGAAATTCTTCATGAAGACCGCTTCGGCGATGGGAGTAGGAGCGACGCCCACTGGTACGTCGACGAGCAGCGGAGGTGGCGATCTCGGTCCGATTGGACCGCCCGCATCTGCCGCTTCCGGTCCGGTCTCGACTTCGAACCAGCAGTCAACGCAGGTTTTATAAACGCACGCGCATGGGATTGTCTTTGTCGCGAGGAGGAAAAAGAAAAAAAATCCGCAGAGACAGAGACAAGAACCACAATGTTTGCACGCCGCGTTAATATACCTTACTCTTTTTACCTTAGCGAGATCTGTTCTATCTGTCGACGGGAAATGACAAATTTCAACGAATTTCCCTCGCTTATTTCTCTTCTCGTTTTGCTCCTTGTCTTTTATAAACGAGAGATAAAGAGGCGAAAAAAGAAAGAAATTTCTCGGACATTGTTTCTCGTGAGAAATTTGCTACTGTAACGATTTCTTTTTTATCTTTGCAATCGCGAAATCGACGATATTTGTACAGTACTTCCCCAATTTTTTCGGGACCCGAGCAATGCGAGATCACGTTATGAAAAAAATCCGTTTTAAGAGAAAACCTCACGAAAAGCAGTCTGTAGAAATGAGAATAGATATGTTGTAGCGCATTTTTCTATCGTTTTGCAATACGTACCCCTACGTGAGGGGGAGTATCACGCGCGTAGAGATATTCGCATTACCGAGTATATCGAGCATATTGAGTAGAGGCACTATGATTTTCGGTTTGCAAATGATGTTTCTCACGATCGGCTCGACGAGTTTCAGGCACATTTTACAACTAATTGGCGCACATTGAAAGATAAGCATTGGCTATCTTGTGCGTATAAAATGTGTTAAATTTCGTACAGATCCGAAAGAAAGGATCGCTCGATTATTGAATTTATCGTGCAGGGCAGTTACGCTGAATTTATTAGATACATTATGTCCCCTCAATTCAGCACTTGAAAGAAGGAAATTAAGGGCTTTATCCTTCGACAAGATTAAATAAAACGGAGCGTTATGAATAATACGAAGCGTGATTCGTTGAGACATTTGTACTCGGCGAATGTTACAACAAGCTTCTACACGAGGGTGACACGATTAAAATCACGAACAGTTTTAGAGACAGTTAGGTCTTAGTGCTGCATGCATTTATATCGAATTGTACGAGGGTTGTAACACAGAATATTACACGTTTAACATACATGCATACACACACACAACAAACACGCCGCGCATAATGTGTGACGTTCCCGATCTCGCGTATACCGCGCCGCTTCCTCTCTTTTACACGCAACTGCTGCTTTAGTATTATTTTTAATTTGCGCGGTATGCGCTCGATCGACGAGTCAGCAGACGAGAGAAGGTAATAAGGTAATAAGGTAAAACTTGAGAAATAGAAGTTTTAGGAGTTATATAGATATGTTGTTTAAATGTAGCATAGCATTTGACATGGGAATGAAAAATCAGGCATCGATCCCTGGACCTGACGTGGATCTGACTTGGACCTCTAACCTGACTATCGATCTGTCCCCCTGAGACTATACGGAACGTTCACACAAAGGGCGATTATTTCGTTATTTAATTTTTTTCTTTTTTTTTTTCTTTTTACTTCTCTATGTCGAATAACCTTGGTGTTTCTGAATGAAAAAATTATTATTTTTTTTTTGTTTTGTCGTTTGATTG